GCATTCCTGGCCGGAGCTCGGCCGGGTGCCGGATCATCTCCGTAGCTTCTGTCCTCCTCGTAGCGGAAATTAAGGAATAATTGTTGGTTTTCCTCAGGGTTCCTGCAGGATTTTCCCTTGGAACCTCAGCCGGGCGGGAGGAAGCGCCGGGAAAAGCCGCTTCTCCGGCGCTCCGGAATTGCAGCCGGGTGTAGAGGACACCCTGGGATGAGTTGTACCGGATACCGCCGAGGCCGCTCCGATGGTGACAAGCAGGGCCTTCCCGTCACTCTCCCTCCGGAGCGCCGGCTTTTCCCTGGAAAACCGCCTGCCCTTTCCCCTCCTTGTTTGAAATTCCAACCCTTTTTTGTCTTTTTTTTTCTTGAATTTCCGCTTTTAAATCCGGGTCTTTCCTCCTTTTCCTCCCTTGGCGCCGGAGCGCTCCGGCCGCCGCGCGTTTTCCGGACGTGTGCGAGTGCGTGACCGTTTTTATAGCAAAACAGCGTTCCCGTTATTTTAGAATCCCAAATCCCGCTGTTTTCCGCTCATTTTGGGCCACCGGTGACAGGCGGCGCCGGAGCGGGGACACAGGCAGAGCTGCCCCCCGGGGCCGCTCCGTCGTCACCCCCTTCCCTCCATGGAAAACACTCGGAAAACCAAGGAGGGAACAGCGGGAAAAGGGGGTGGGGGGTGTCAACCTTTGAGCCTCTATGGTCCTTTTTAAATAATAAAAAATACTAAAAAAAGGGGTTTTTGCTGGGGATAAAGTAGAGCTGCCGCCGCGGCGTCAGTCAGACCAAGAGATCTTAGCGACTTGGGTCGGTGTCTTCTCTTCTTTCCGTTGTTTTTCCCTTTTTTCCTGCACATCCTTCGGTTGTTGGCGTCGTCGGTTCGTTTTTTTGTTAAATAAAAGGAAAAAAAACGAAAAAAAAATATAATAATGGTTAATCGAGGCCCCCGCCGCCTGTTCCTAGAGCTGTTTCAGTGTTCCGGGGTTGTTGTCTTCGTTGCTGTAGCAGGGGGGAGCCCCGCGGAGGCTCTCCCTGTTTTTTTAGGAATTTGGGAGCGTTCGGCGGTGGCCGGGCCGAGGGTCTTTTTTCCGGTTGTTCCTTTCTCCCGCCGTGGACCGTGTAAGCGCGTGGTTGTTGCCGCCTGTTACCTTCCCTTGGGGCTCTGGCAAATGTAGGATCCCAGCTGCCGTTTTTGGAATAAAACAACCGTTCGCTTGAAACGTTCCGGAGCGGCCCCGGCTGCCGTCACCGTGTGTGTCTGTGGGGACGGGGACGAGGCCGGTGGCCATGGGGATGTCAGTGGAGGCTGGTGATGGCCATGGGGACGTTAATGGGGGTGACCGATGGTCATGGGGACGTCAATAGGGGCTGCCCATGGCCATGGGGACGTGTGTGGGGCTGGTGATGGCCATGGGATGTCAATGGGGCTGGGGAGGGACATGGGGACGTCAATGGGGTTGGTGATGACCATGGGGACGTCAATGGGGCTGGTGAGGGACATGGGGACGTCAATGGGGGCTGGTGATGGCCATGGGGATGTCTGTGGGGCTGGTGATGACCATGGGGACATTAATGGAGGTGACCAATGGTCATGGGGACTGCCCATGGCCATGGGGATGTCAGTGGGGGCTGGTGAGGGACATGGGGATGTCAGTGGAGGCTGGTGA